GTAGAGCGGCAATTCGTCGGCGCGGACAATCGGCATCGGGTTGGCGACGCGCGCGTAGACGCGGTCGTCAACGTCGTCCTCGTCGAGCGCGGCCAGACGGCGTGCGAGCGCCTGGTCGCGGCGCAGTTGTTCCTCCTCCTGCGTCATGGCCAGGTCGGCGAGAAACATGTCCTGGATCAACTGCAGGCTCGCGGCATTGGCCGCGTGCTGGTCAGAGTCAAGCACGCCATTGACGAGCGTCGCGTCGGCGTCGGGGAAGTCGTAGTGGTCGCCGGGACCAAAGGCTTCCTGTGCTTGCGAAAGCAGCGCGAGGCGCAAGCTCGGGTCGAGCAGAGCGTGCTGCTCGTCAATGTAGACGTGCGCCATGGTGGTGGTCGTTGACGGCAGCGACAGAGGCGGCGGCCTGGAGTCGGCGGGCGGGAGCCGATGTCGACTTGCATGCGGGCGTCTCGTGGCAGCTCAAGAGGGCCGACCGCTGCTCATAGCCGCGGCCCGCGGCCGTCGACTCCCAAGCACACACACAACCACACCTGGCCATAGGCCCACAGTTCGAGCAAAAGCGTCAATGACATCGTCCTGGTGAATCAGACCGTCCAACTGCTGGCCTGCCTCGCACGAGAAATGAGTGAGGTGTAAGAGATTCGAACTCCTAGCCTTGCGATCTGGAGTCGCACGCGCTACCAGTTGCGCCAACACCCCGCGATCCCGAGGTCTCCGAAATGCTAGCGCTCGGGCCGGGAGTTTTGCAGCAATCCAGCAGTCACATGCACGGTTGCTACGCGCGTCGCGTCTCGACTTGCTGCGGCCGGCCGCGTCGCCCTGCGTCGCCCCCACTTCCGCGCCTCGGCGCCTCCACGCTGCGCGAGCAAAAGCACCGACAGTGCCGCGCAACCACGCGCAACCACGCGCAACCACGTTCCATTTATTCTTCTTCTTCTTCGCGCTTGTGGGTGAGCGGCCGAGGCGGAGGCGGCGCCATTTTGTTCTCTCTGCGCACGAACGAGCAGCACCGCCACGCCATTGGTCGCCCGTCGCGCCGATATCGCCCAAAGCGCCTTTTCAGCCCCATTTCCCGCCTGCAATCGCGTTGCGCCCATGCCATTGGAATGAAATGGCGGCAGTGCCTGCTGTCCATCCATCGTTTCGGTTGCTGTTTGGCGCGGTGTTCGTGCGACGTTCAACGACGGTGGAGATCGGCATGTCGCGCAAGAGCGGAGGCAGCGAACGCAGCGAACGCAGCGAGGATAGTAGTGGGCGTAAATCAATGAATGAGAATGAACGGGGCACGGAGCGCACGTCGTCGTCGAGGGCGAGGCGGCCGTACGCAAATGAGCCGACGAACGCGATAACACGCACGCACCACGACCACCACCACCACGGCCGACGACCAGGTGGTTGAGGGCTGCGGCGGCGGCGCGCGACCGGCGGCCGTGGCGCGCGCCCTCGCCAGTCGGTCGATACCAGGGCGCAGCCGACTTCGACTCGACTTGAAGACGGGCGCGGGCCTGGGCAAGTCGCTCTCGCTTTCTTCTCTCCTGTTCTTGCTTGCTCCCGTTCCCCGCACGAACCGTCTTGCTCCCTCCCGTGCACGGTCGGTCTTGCCAGCCTACCCGACCACGACAACGACAGCGCGCGCATACCCCGCACGTCGTCGGCACCATCGACCCCTACGAGCACGCCTGGGATCGTCCTCCAGGCAACCTCGCGCGCTCATCGACCCGGCTGCTCCGTTTCTCCGCGGCGGTTTCGGCTCGAGCGCCTGGCTGCACGCTCGTGCGACGCTCTCAAGTGCCCGCTTTTGATCCCGTTTGATCAGACGTGTCCTCGACCCCGCTACAACTGCTGCTCCTGCTGCCGCTGCGATCCCTGCGCGCTGCACTCGACCTGAACCAGCACGCGCGCCGTTCCTCCCCCGCACTCTTCTCGCTCCTGCGGTGAAACCACGCACCGACCGACCCGCCCAAACCAACGAACCGCCGCGCGCTCATGTCGCGGTTTGTCTCATCCGGCCTGTTTCTCGGGCGCGAGGACCACGCGACGACGCACGTGCAGGACCCGCCAAGCGCGCGCCGTGCCGCGCTCGCCAAGACGCACTTCTTTTCGGTCCCGTTCACCTCAGTGGAACCGTCGCGTCCGTACTGGGGCTTCGCGCCGCCGACGCGTCCAACCTCGCCGCCCGTCCTGCCGTGCGACTACGAGGACGATGTGCCGCTGAGCGCCACGACGGCGCCGCCCCTGCCGCCGTTGCCCCTGCCGCAGCCGCAGCAGTGCATGAGCATGTTGAGCCCGCCACCGTCGCCACCGCACGCGGCGCGGTGCGAGTCAGACTTGGTCATGGAAGAGGAGGAGGTGGACGCGGACGGTGGCGTGCATGCTGCTGCTGCTGCGCGTGCGGTGGTCGACGACGACCCGATGGATCTCGACGAGAACGACGAGGACATGCAGGACCGGGCCGCGCGGTCGCTGCCGTCGCCGTCGCCGACCGACTCGGATATTGATGTCGACCTTGACGACTGCGACGATCTCGACGACGACTGCGACCTCGACGACACCGACAGCACTACAACTGCGACCACCATGCCGCAACGCGCACCACGAAAGACGGTCACCTTTTGCGACCTCCCCCCGACCGTGTTTGTCTGCGACGAGTACGACCGTACGGGCACGGCCAAGTCGGCGCGGCTGCGGTACGCGGACATGGCCGAGCTGCTTGCGCTCAAGTCGCTCATGAAGCGGCAACACCAGCGCGTCTTGCACGTGTTGACCGACCCGGCCTGGCTCGCACGCGGCCAGTCGACCGAGTGCACGGCGTGCGGCGCACACCATGGCGTCGACCCGGGATCGGTGTTTGGGCCCGAGCCCGTGCCGACGCTCGAGGAAATGGAACGGCGGCGGTGGTAGTAGCCTCGGATAGATGGCTCCCACTTCCTGCTGGAGTTTGGATAGTGAGTGTTGCTTGTTCTTTTCTCTCTTCCTTGGCCGCTGTCGCTCTGCCCCGCGACGTGGGCGGCCGGCGCGCGTGGTGTGGATGGGAACTACTCGAGGATGGCGCGGAATGGCAAGAAATGGCGAGCGCGCACGGCGATCTTTGCTGCCAGCCCCGGCTGGGCATGGCGCAAGCGAGGTCCGATATGTCGTGCGCGACTCGACAAAGGGGAACTTGGCGAGACGGGTCGCGTTTCCATGCATTTTCTTTTTTTGATTCATTGTTTGTTGTGTGCTTCCATTTCTTTTCGGTATTGCTTTTTGGTTGTGTACATTTTTGGCCATGATTCCATCCAGCTTCCAAGTCGCGCGGCGCGACCTACCCCCGCTACTTTTTTGTTCTATTCCAGTTGCCTGTTGTTGGTCTTGGCTTGCGCTCGCTCGGCGCACGACTCTCGATGCAGGCGGCCTGGCGCCGTTGACGTGCAGGCCGCTTCCCTCCTCTCTCTAGTTGCCGAGACGTTGGTTGGAGCGTGGCGGTGCGATGGGGAATGTAAATACAGGAGGGGGTGGGCTTGCTCGTACTTGTCAGAGAGATGACACCCGCGGTCAAGGCAGGAGTGCACGGGCTGTGCTCGTCGGGAGCCGAACCGGAGGCCGGCCGCATGACGAGGCGAAAAGCAGGGTTGTCTCGCGCCGTCTCGCATGATTGGCGAGTTTGGCGTGACTTGCGCGTGCCTCGTGCATCCGCCGTTTCTTTTCCCGGAGTTGGCTTGGCCGGTGCTCCACGTCAGGCCGCGGACGTGCCACTTCAACCTCAAAACGAACGATGTGCCCGCCTCCAACCACCACGTCCTGCAACACCGACAAAACCACCACCATCAAGCAATTCAAATTCCGCGCCATGGCTGCGCTCTTCCCGCCCGACTGCCTGCACGCCGCCGCCGCCGCGCCCTCGCGCACGCCGTCGGCGACCAGCTCGACCTCAAGCTCCAACATCCTCGACCTGGGCGCCCTGCTCATGCGCATCGACGACGACCCGCTCGCCGACCTTTTACTCCCGTCGGCCGCCGACGCAGCCGCCATTTATCTGAACGACCCGTTTGAGCCGCTCCTCTCTTTACCGGCCATGACCATGCCGCACCTGCCCACGTCAACCTCCTCGCCCGCGCGGTCACCCGGATCCAGCCCAATGGTCGCCCCCGCGGCCACCGACACGCCGTTCGCGTTCCCAGACTCGGCCGCCGCGCTCCTACATGACGTGAATTGGGCCGCGTTCATGCCCGTCGCGACCGCGCCGAGTATTTCCATCACCGATTTGTCGGCGGCGGCCGCCCCCGCTGCGCTCCTCTCGCCCACGAGCTGCACGTCGCTCACGTCGCCCGCATCCACGTCCACGTTACTCGCATCGGAAATCGACCTCCTCGCGCTCGCGTCGCCCTCGTCCACCTCCTCGACCCTGTCGGACCCGACCTCCCCGCCCGCACCGGCCACCAACGGCGGCGAACCGCTCCCGGCGCCCTGGGACCCGCCGCGGCACGCGCGCGCGCCGAGGCCCATGTCGCACCCGGACCGGTCTCCGTGGGCGAACCGCACGCCGCGCGCGAAGTTGATGGACGAGGCTGCGCGCCAGGCGATTCTGGTCGTGCACGCGCGCGAGATTGTGCCGCGGCGCAAACGCACGCGGACGGCGCCCGCGGCCGCCGTGGATGGGGCCGCGAGGATGGACGTGAATGGCCGCGAGGAGAACGACGACGACGAGGAGGAGGAAGACCGCGGGTCAACAGCGCCGGCGCCGAAACGCGCGCGGCGGCGGACGATGGGCGCGGCCACGACGACCTTGGCGTCCCCGCCCGCTCCCGCGGCGTCCAGTACCGACGAGGACACTTCCAACGACGGGCCGATGCATGACGGCCCGGCGGCCACGCACCACGACGACTCGGTCCCGTGCGACGACGCCAACGAGGAACGTAAACGCAAGAACCGGCTGGCCGCGCACGCGTCGCGCGAACGCGCGCGCGCGCACCTCGATGAACTCAAGGCGCAGCTCGCTAATTTGGTGCATCGGAATACGGACTTGCATGCAGATTTGATCAAGGAGCGTGAGGCTAGGGAGAGGGTGGAGAGGGACAAGGACGCGGTGAGTAAGCGGTTGGACGCGTTGGTGGCGCGAGTCGCGGCGGCCGCGCCGCACTTGTTGGTGGGGATGGATGAGGATCAAAGTGGAGTGGGGGTGCCGCTCGCGCCGTGGGATGTGACCGGGTTTTGATGGAGATGATGGGGGTGGAGGGAGGCCGAGCGGAGGAGGCGGTGGCCTCGAAGTGGAACCGCGCAAGTGGGACATGAGGGACGGGGTCGGTATTGTACATATATATATCCAAGACAAGATGATGGACGCAAGGCATCGAGTAAAATCATTGGCATTTTGAACCAACCATGGTCTGTTGCGGCCCTTGCGACATGGGCAACAAGTGTTGTCGCAGGCGCAGAACTGGCCACAGCATCATTGGGCGTCTCGACCCACCCTGGCTCGACGTAATCATTGTCCGACTTGAGCTCGTTCATCCCCTCCAGGTGAGGCTTCTTGTTCGCCGCGTGGGTGGCCGGCTGGGGATCATGCCATCGTCGACACCCACCGCGTCATGCACGACACGACGCGAGACGGATGAGAGAAGTGAGAGACGCGTTTGGCTCACGATCAGCTCTGCCGCGCGTGGCTCACCATCCGGTACAGTCATCGCTGTCGTGTGCCGGGTTGCAGCCATAGTTTCATT